GTTGTTCTTCTTCTTCGTACGTATTCAACATAGTGACAAAAGTTGCTCTGTAGCGCTGTTTGTCCGTTCAGGCTACTGTAGAAACATGGCGGCACAGCATGGCGACTTCCATGCAAGAGGACCCGCGGCGTATGTAGACAGAAATGGCTCATTCTACACAAAGAATCAAACAGCTCCTTGGTATCGGATCCAAAGTTTAGCATAGTCAATTTGTTTTCTCCCGCTGAATCTTTTTCACTCTGCTGAATTCATCTCTTCATCTTCTTGAATTCAGTATGAGCTGCTATGGGAACCCGGCCTTCCATCCATTTTCTCCAGTTATTAATAATCCTCACCTTGGAAACGTGAACATAGTGGTTGTGGCGGTTGCTTGCTGTCCCCTGTGGTTGGCTTGTCAATTGCGTGATACTGAAATATTGCAGTTATTGTGACAGCCCTCCCCAGGATGCTACAGTCCCTACACCTCTTTGTCTAAGAGGTTTTTCATCTTTATCTTTGTGGTCAGCTGTGTTTTTCCACAAGTTACTCAGACTACTAAGACTTAAAGGGATGTAGTTGACGTGAGAAATAAATTTTAGGTTGCAGATTCTTGGTAACTAAGTCTTGGTCACAGGGATTGTGGGTAAACAGTGAGTAGTAATTAAAGTGTGCTTGTTTACAATAAACGTCTGCGAGCATGTAGGTGAGATTTTAACACAGACCGATGGATGAGACGATAGAGGTATGGGGACATCTTTGATGCTATATACATTTACATTTCCTTTTGTCAGCTCAAGGAAGAGCCACTGACTGTAAGCTAATACTCCAGATGTGATTTACAATTTACCATTGGCTGTTTGTTGAGCATGCGTGTGTTTGATAAGTACCAATTGTCTTGTTTCTTGTTATGGACAGTTCCAACTAACATATCTGGAACCTGTTCTAGTCACGTGGCCCCAGGTTCCTTTGACTTTCAAATACTACATCATTGAAGCCCTGGAGGATTAAAGCTTCAAGAAAGCATGTCTACTGACACACAGAAAAAAGCAAATCTAAATCTTAATTAACATTTAATTGGCACTTTAAGACTCACTTAATTGACATAGACAACTGTATAACTTCGACCCGTGGAGCGAATCATCTCCACCCAGCTGATGCGACACCAGCGTACACCATGATAGGTCTCATGCTGTAAGTTGTAGCTGGTAGAGTTTTGCAATATAAACATCTAGAAACTGAAGCTAGACTTGCTCTGTTTCAAGTTTACAGGTGGATTTGTGTTTCAGTTAGTTTCGGTTTCCAACCGGTCTGAAGGGGAAACAACCGGCGAAGCAATAACGTAATGCACAGCAGAGTACAGGGCAGGCAGACTTTAAATTTTTTTCTTGACATGTCAGAGACCACAGATATGAGAGTTGGATTCTGAACATGCAGAAAGTTTTGAAGATGAGCAGAAAAGCTGCTGAAACACAGGAGCTATTTAAGTCCAGGAGTTTCTAACTGAATTAAAATGAGTTAACGTGTCATTGAGGTGAAAAGATGCCACGCAAACATTTAGAGAGGTTACTTCCCCAAACAGAAGACTCGAAAGAGGACGGAAGACTAAATCATGCTGCACGTGTGCTGACTCAGCAGGTATGTTATTAAATGAGAAAAGTTGATCTACAGGGGAAACCTGAAAGCAACACAGAAAGCCTGAGAGCTGCACTGCATTAGATTCTGTTCAAGTGTTAAATGTCACCTGCAACCTAAAAATTTGTGTTTCCCTTTAGATCAGTGGTTCTGCACCCACATCCCTTATCCAAGTCCCTCATTTGCCCTGAATATTGTTGATTATTATTGTTATTGTTGCTGTTACTATTGTTATTAGTGGGGGTTCGTGAGGTCCTCCCCCAGAAAGTTTTGAGCATCAAAGACTTAATTTCTACATTTCTGCCCCAATGTCTGCCTTTTCTGCACCAATTTATGGTGGAAATGTTTTTATTTATATAAAAGGGAGACTCAAACTTCAGGTGGCAATTCAAAATTTCTTCCTTTCAAAATCAACTTATTTAAAATCATCCCTGCAGAGTCAACACACATGATCTAGTCTTCCCTCCTCTTTTGTGTCTTTGGGGAAGTAACTTCTTTAAATGTGCATGTGGCGCCTTTTCACCTCAGTGATAAATTCATTCCTTTTAATTCATTTATTGACTGGACTTTAATGATGTGAGGTTTTCTGCTTATGTTCAAAATGTTCTGCACATTCAGAATCTCTCCCTCATGTGTGTCTTCTCTGACAAGTCGAGGTGAGGTGGGTCCCCTTCACAGTACTCGCAGGTGTCGCATCAGGTGCTGGATGCTGGTCGAAGTTGCTTTCAGGGGAAGTCCGACAGCGGAAATCCCTCTTGTAAATGTGTAACCACGGTGATAACAAGGCGTTCACCGTGTTTTGCTCAGAGAGACAAACGCTTTTCCACGGTAATACCAAGAAAGAGATCGTCCATTTTCCAGGGTTTACGCAGTAAAGACCATGTGCGTACAATTTTTCAGATCAGACTCTGACTTCCCATTCCCGTGAAGGCAGCACAGTTTTCTTGCCCCCCAAGAGCCTCTCAACGCCCCCTTTTCCAAAATATTGCTTCCAGCGCCCCTCGTCGTCCTATGAATGGCCCCCGTTGAGAAACACTGCTTTAGATAAATAAAAACATTTCCATCATAAATTGGTACAGAAAGAATCAGAGGGCTGGAAATTAATTCTTAGAATGCTCAAACTTTTTATACAATTTAGCATTGAAAATTCATTATAAATTGTGTTAACATCCCGTATCAAAATCATGTCTCGTCTCGTCTCATGAGCTCAGTGTCTCGTCACACTCCTACTAGTAGGTAGAAAAAGATCTAGAGAAAAAGGAAGGAAGCCATTCACATAAGCACTGCTCATATATACAAAATGCTGTTTGACTATACAACGCTCTCTGTGGACACGTCCTTGTGCCTAATGGAAGGATTAATAGTCAAATCCTCAAAGATCACCCTGACGGGGATTGAAATTGACAAGCATTGGAGAGACCTCAGCACTCACACACACTCACACACACCTGAGCCAGTATCGCAAACTGGGAACAACAAGAGCAACGGTGTAGATGTGATTAAACCATCCGTTTATCAATTTGTCATGGCACAAGACACAGACTTCCATCCACAAACAGTCAATTACACACACACACACACACACACACAAAAGCTGGATCTTATTTATTATGATGTTCATTAGCATGAGTGACGGGAAGGTTAACAGAGGTGAGCAGTTACACTAGTCTCCTGGAGTGTGACAAAATGCTTCCGAGGTTTATGGGGATCGTACTTTAGGATCATCATCAACAAAAGGCCTGATTTGGAGAAGAAGGGGTGACCTTTTGCACTGCTGCATCTTCACTAGTGATGCAGTAATGATGGATTACAGAGCCCACTTTGGCAGACAGGATGGGAGCAGAGCCTTTCAAAGACAATAATGCGTGTGAAGCATTCTCCGTCCTCCTGCCGTACCTCTTCCCCAAAGGCCGGAGCAGACAGAGCTCTCTGCTTTTCCAACCTGCTGCCCTCTAATATGGCCCAGTGGTAGCTGGGTAAAGCCAGGGGGAATGCCTGTACCAGTATGAGTGTGGGTTTGTCAGTCAAGGTGTCAGTCAGACTGACGGGTCATTGTGTGGACTGACAGCCGGCTGAGAGCTACAGCACTTCCATTAAGAAGGAACATCACTCACTGGCCTTTACAGCCACAGTACTCTGCTGCTCGCTGACACTAACAGGGACTGTAGGTACCCCCAGGGCATCAGGCAAGGTCAACAGACATGCAGGCAAGTCCTGTTGTTCATACAAATGTACTTAAAAACACTGAGACATTGATATGCAGAGCTGATAAAGTAATCCCTCGCTGGCGTTGGAGACCCATTATATTTTCTCAGCTCTAAAGCCTGGACTCTGCTTACGGAGTCCATTTGGGTTCAGCTTTAAACAATCAATTAATAACCATTTTGATTAACTACAACTCAAAGGACCAATTTAAATGTTTAAAAGGGACATAAAAACACACATAATACAGACAACAATGTTCTACGTGATGACCATCTATATTGTTCACCTGCCAAAGCCCTAAATAAACTTCAATATATCCAATATATCAACTCTGCTGCCCGCCAGAGCACCCGTGACCACATCCCCCCTGTCCTCCAGAATCTTCCCTGGCTCCCTGTTCCCCAACACGTTCAGTACAAAATCCTCCTCCTCACGCATAAAGCCCTCCATAACAAGGCCCCTTCCTACCTCACAGACCTGCTCCACCACCACGATCCCTCCAGTAACCTCCGCTCTTCTGACACTAACCTCTTCTCACCTCAAATCAGGACCAAGCACCGTACCTGGGGCGTCAGAGCTTTCACCATCGCACCCCCCCTCCCTGTGAAACTCCTTACCCATACACATCCCAGATTGCAGCGACATGGACTCTTTCAAATCGCTTATCAAAACCCACCTATTACACCTGCTGCTGTTTGTTGTGTTGTTATTTAGATGGTCGTCCCTTTGCTCTTATGTATTTCCGCACCACATGTTTTTATGTACTGTTCATATATTTTATATTATGCTATTTATGTTTTTAGTCTGTTTTAAATGTACATAACTTCTGCTTTTACCTGTAAAGTGTCTTTGAGTGTCCTGAAAAGAGCTATAGAAATAAAATGTATTATTTTTATTATTACTACTATTACAATAACAGCATGTACTGTATTGTTCTAAAAGCTGGCAGTACACCAGAGTTGATGTTAAACGGGCAGAGACATTGCACAACGGATGCCTTACAAGATCACAACCCCAGGAAAACTAAATGTGAGGACATCATCACTGAAATAAGACCGTGAGGTGACCGTGATGGATTTGACTAAGCTGTCCTGACTTTGGAAATGTCACTGGCTGTCTTAGGAACAACACAGTAATCTAACACACACACACACACACACACACACACACACAGTGGCTCCTACCTCATCTAGTTCAGAGATGTAGACAGGTTTCTCTTCAAAGCCGATAGGCATGGGGTCGTTGGGTGGGATCTCCACCTCTTCATACATCTTACTGTTCTCCCTGCGGATTCCCTCGGGTAGAAGCATCTGAATGTCACACACACAAACACAAAGAAATGTAGAAAACACACATGACCTCAAAGAACTAAGATAACATACCTGAATTTTAAAACACATAAAACTTGGAAAGTCGTTCAAAGTTACGAAATACACAATAAGCTATATTTTCACAAAAACGTTTGTTAATTGCCATATTGTTAATGCTTCCTTAAAAGTACATAGCAGATCAAACAGTACTAATTAAATCTGTGTAATAAATCCCATAATAAAAATTCAATAATGCCACATATTATGAGGTTTTGATTAAACGTTTTCTTTGGTAACCTCACCTTAGCTCCTCCAACAAACGCAGGCGTCTTCGCGGCCTCTGCATAGCTGTCGTAGACATTGGGATATCGAATACGTTCATAAACTCTTTCTCTGCTCAGTATAGGTTCACGTCGTGCAGTCAGCAGGGCCTGCTCCCTGTGCAAGCACACACACACAAGACACATGGAACAGGAACAATTCAGAAAAGACAGCAACTGCAAATAAAAGGTGATTCATACAGTAAAACTAAGTACTTCAAGGTGAGGAGAAAGACAAAAGTAAATGACAGTCTTCTGTCAAATTAAAGGAAGAACAGAATAAACGGCAATGTCATTTCGACAAAAACATCTGCACAATGTCACATCTGCAACCACGTGGTTCCATATGTGAACCCTCAGAGCCATCGCTATTTTTGCTTTAGAATAATAGTTGATGATTGAAATGAAGAGGCACAGATGCGAGGCATTATGTTCCTTCCTAAAGTGGCTTACCTCTCTGCTAATCTTTTTCTTCACATTGGGCTGGATTTGGCCGTGCTAAGTTTTTAATTAAACAGATCGCTGCTCTTCCCCCCCCCCATCTTCTGAAATTAAACTTTCTGAAAAGTCCTGTACACAGTAAGACGTGAGAAGCTGAAGCATCGCTGTGTTTTTTTTTTTCATGAAGCTCCAGCCAAGTTGTCATGAAAAATGCAGAAGCGTGTCGGTTTCAGAGTGGATACCAACAGCACAGGAGGAGACGAACAGACAAAGAAAAAAGACAAATAAGGGCAAAAGGACCAAGAGAAAGATGGGAGAGATGACATACCGCTGGGCTCTCATCTCTCTGGGGTCGAAGGTCATGGCAGCATCTGAGGAGTCGCTGTCATCTGTTCCTTTGCCTCTCTTCCTCTCCCTCTTCTCCTCTCTGCGGTACATCTTCATCATCTGTTTCTCCTGCTCTGACTGTATGGTCACCTGACATCCATAGATGGGCTTGGTCACTTCTCCGCTGACCTTTCGGCTCACGTCTGGAGGAAATGCAAGGCCCAAACATATAGAAATATAGAAAATAACAGGCAAAACGCTACTACATCAGAGGTCTTCCTGGACTGGATCAAATTATCTCTGTCTTTAAATGGAAGGTCCATGGAAAATAATGTAAACAAGATATGCAGTATGTGATACCATTAAGTCAATTAATATCCGAGTCCCAAACAGCCGCCTACCTCCTTTACTGACAAATACACGCAGGTCTCCATTAAACGCCTGGTCTGGTTTTTATAGAAGTTCTTTGGATGCATAAAACCTCTTAAACCCAGAGGTGTCGCCGCTTTAGCTGCTTCTGAGCTGCTCAGATCGTTGATACAAATATTAATGTTTAAACTTATGATCAATATGTCAGTATGAACATGCTGCACATCGTTAGATTCTCCACAATTCAATCGTTCACTTCATTTAACAAAAACAACGAGCCCCAAAGTCTGATTCTTATAGATTTACCGCTGTATTTGATATTATTTGAGTACAGTAATATTCATACTGTTTTAAATAAATAAACTGTTTCATTAGTATCTTATTTCAGTTTTGTGTGAAAGAAATTAAAGGCCTGTCCCAAATACAGGCAGCGTCAATTCAGTGATTTTAGAAAATAAAAGCCCAAGCTATTAATCAAAGTTTTACGGTATATTAGTAACAGCAAGACAAACATCAGGACACTTTGGGAGCTGACCCGTGTGGACTGGGTAGCTAAGTATCCCAGAATACTTAATAACGATGGAGGAGATTTTGAGCTGGGCTCAATGCGGTTATTGTTTTCATCCTAGGACTACTATTATGTCACTGTTTGGATATTTAAGAAAGTAACGATCAGCGATGCAAGGACCCACCGGCCAGGTGAGACCAGCTGGTACCTCAGCTGCTTGCAATGACTGAACAGTAACCTGAGAGAACAAATGAAGTACTGAAGTACATAAAAATAAGTCATGCAATTAGAATAATTCATAAGCTTGAATTGCTCATTTATTACTCAGTTATAGTTCTGTCCCCGTGATCCATACTTTAAAGGATCCAAGCATAGATTATATCATTTCTGATATTGCAGTTGTGGTTTTCAGGCCCTGATTCAGACAGCATGAAAGAGTATTTATCGCTGGATGAACAAAACAGTTTGTTCTCATTGAGAAAACAACATCAAGTCAGCCAGTATCAGTAAAAACTGATTCATATTTCAGCAGTAACCTTGATAGTCCATTGATATCAGATGCAGGAGCATGTGGCATTGCACGGGTTAACGTTCCCCATTGCAGCATCTCTGTTTGAGGCACAACAGCTCAATAAAAGGCAGAATTGCTCTTGAAAACAGATGAGATCTGATGATTGCACCGCGGGCTGGGCTGATTGACTGAATGATTTCTTCTTTATCTCATCTAGCGGCTCTACCTGCTGCACAGCCTCCCTCTCGTTCTAGCAGCTCCCCTCTTCCTGTCACTCTCATCCTCCCTCCCATTACCTCTCCAACTCCCAAACCCTTTCACTCTGTCTCTCTCCATGCACCAATTCCTCTGTCTAAACCATTCCCCATCCTTTACTTTGCCTCTCTCTGGGAGCCATTGTGCCTTGTTATGTGTCTCCAACAGTGATTGCCTCCAAATCTCCAGGATTCTCATTTCCTCAAGCGATCATGGTGCCATAATCACTGTGAAGAGCATCGCCAAGATGGATTTTACTTGTTTACAAGATGGTTTTAAGGTGTTTTACACGTTTGAAACTGTAGTCTTTAAAATCAATACAGGATTTTCAAGAACAGTCAACATTTAGAAGTGATTTTAAAGACTAAGAGTCTGAAACTGTGTTACCACAAAAACCCCAATAATTTCAATTTTATAATTTATTGTTAGCAAGATATTTGATTTAAAAAAAAAAAGACTGTCCAAACTAAAAAGGAAAACCCATTTAAAAAGATAATATGTTGTGTATGAACTTGTCAAATGGAGATAAATATCAAATAGTTATTCTCATGCCAGCAAACTGACATATAATGTCTTTAATACACAATGCACTAGTAGTGTGTAAGTAAACATTTGAGATTTTGAGTGTCACTTGGTGCCGTATAAAGAAAAATGTCACAAGATTGATCATCAGCGCATTAGAGTGTGAGTAATGAATTAAACTATTGAATGGTATAGCCGCCGGCCATTTAACCTTCCACAAGTTCTAGTTATCGACCTGCAGTATCCGACAGGTGTGGCATATCAACATGCTGATTAAACAGCACGGCGCTGCTGCCGACTATTGGATGTCCATTTCTCCAACATAAACTGCCTCCAGAGTCACTTTAGAGTTGCAGGGATGTGGCATCCAGCAGCTGTCCAGAAGAGGACAGGGACACGCTTCAACAAGCCGCAAGTCAATCTCTTTTCAACTATATGCCGGGCAACGTTCCACTAACCATTTTGGGGGGTCTTTTTGACCAACTAGTGTGGTTTAATCGCTTCAATATAAAGCGCTCACACATTTAATCCAATATAGTTATTGTGAAAAAAGTGTTTAAAGAACATTGCAAATCAGTAATGAATTCTATAAATTACCAAAGCACTTCAGTTGGAGTTGGGAGTTTGTACTTGAGCAGCAGAGAAAAGCCTCTGTTCTGATCACGGCCTGGGGAAATTGTCTAAAAACGCTTGTCAGAGAAACACTGGAATCATCTTTAAATTCATGACAGAACCATTTGCTAAGGCACATCAAGTCTGGGAAACTGATTTCTGCAAAGTTTTCTACACATACTCCTCGACACCTACTGTACCACACTTGAACAGATAAAGAAATATGCTTAATGACCCAGTCAAAGGCATTTGCACACACAAACACAAACACTCAATGGGAGGCTCTTTCCACCAGGTTGGAGCTGTCAGCGTCCCACCAGGTTCCACCTCTCGGTGTGTCTCCTTGCTGATTTAGAGAAGGCTAGACAACACAGCTCAAACTTTGAAATAGCTTTCCCTCTTCTAGGGCAGCAACAGTATAATAAACAGGCACAAGTAGTGTTGAAGTTGAGCTACTAATTCAATAGAATTATAGTTACATCAAAAGTGTAAGTGCAAAAGTGCCTATTTACACATCCAGCAGACATGGAGTACATTAAACTTCAATATTAGCATTTCTGGCCACCTGACAAATATAAAGCCAATACTGACACTTCCTTAAAGCTCTGTTTAGGTTTCAACTCCCTAACTCCTGGGTGAGGTAACAGAGGTAAAGCCAGGCGAGGTGAAGAGCTAAAACATTTTATAGAGCTAAGTAGAACTGCAAAATTGGTGACACCATCCTTTTCTTTGAGCACACAAAATAAAAGAAAGCTTTTTGTATGTGCTTCTGCATCCTGCTTTTTCTTGTTTGCAGATTTATTTATTTTTTGCTTCTTCAAAGTACCGGGGAAGAATAAACTTTTTTGGACATAGTTAATCTCTGTAGGTCTATAAAAGATAAATATCCCCCCCATAAGGCTGCATCCTTCAGATTCGGTTTGGTACTGCACTGTGTCCTCACTCTGGTGTTGTTGGTCCAAAATGATATTTAAGAATCTGAATGTATAGCATTTCTGCTTGAAAAATTACTTTAAACGATAAATGAATTATCAAAATATTTGCAGATTAATTTTGTTTCAACTGACTAATCAAGTTATCGATTAATTGGTAAACTCTGTATTGGGCAGCTCTCCCTTTCCCTCTCTATTTCCATTTAATGTAGGTTTCTATAAGTTAATAGTCCACCATGCAGTTTAACTGTGTTGCTCTGTGTACAGTGAGGTCGACGCTACGACTCACAGCATGAGGTTAGAATCAGCAGAACATTTCGGGGCAGCCATATTATAACATATTACAACATGTCGATGTGATTGTAGTTTCGCCTGAAATGTCCCCTGATTTTTCCAGCCCCTGTTAAAACGATTTGGATGTGTGGACATGTTATCTTTTTAATTGTCCATTCCACATAGCACTGCCTATATCAGCCATTGAAATGTGGAGAGGAGCCACCAAGAGAATCCATTCTTTGATAAACATGCAAGTGCCAAGCTGCAGACTGCAATTTAAAAGCTAATCAGCAAGAGACAGGCATTCCCACTAAATCCCACTCTTCCTGATGGCATGCAAATAGTGGAAAATTTAATCAGCCTTTTTTAACCCTCAGTCGTCAAGGCAACACTAATCTCAAAAGCTGTCTAGCAAGTTTAATTTTTAACGCTGATCAAAAGTTCTCAACAATAGGAATAACATCAGCTGAGGTTTGAAGCAGCAACTATTGGTAAAAATGTTTACATTGCTGTATTTTGTGTGTGGCTAGTTCAGTTACACATTGCCAGTTTAAAGTTAAGCCATACCTATCAAATTATAAATCACAGCTGCCCTATATTATAGACAGATTTGTCTAAAACATGTCATCCTGTCAGGTTAGAGTATGGGGTTAGAGGCAGAGGGAAAGTGCGGTACATTTTCTATTTCTACCAGCTTATTTCTTATTTGGCCATTTTAATTGTACTTTATTCTCCACCTTATTTTAGTGTTTTTCCCTTTAGTTCTCTTTCCCCCCCCCACTCACCTACACCTCTGCTGCAAACACATCGGCCTGTCTCTCTCTCCCCGAATGTGTCTGCTCTGCTCACTTTCTCTATCAGCAGTACATTTTATAAAGTTGCTGAAAATACACAGATTTTTTCACTCACTATCCCAATCAGCTGCAGATTCTCCGCACGTAGATGAAGCTTGTTAACAACATAGCCTATCAAAACGAACCCAACGGGATACCTAACGGATGACACCTGCACTCGTAACGTAATAGATAATAATTCTGTTTGTCTGCAAAATGCACATCGCGGTTCTGTTTCAAGACACAGATAATATTCTCGGCACAACACTGATGAAGGAGCTGGGGCTCCTTCTCTTCAGCAAGTTTTCCTCATGCCACTGCACTCACACATGCGCACTGACGACCCAGGGTTAGGGTTACAATTCACACACTTTAAAAACATTTA